TAATTTTTTAAAAAAAAATTTTTTTTTGATTCAAACTTTTAAAAAATCGATTAAAAAAAATCGATATATAATTTTAAATGTTTATAAAAAAAAAATTTCGATATTTATATGTTTATAAAATCTAATGTATTTGTCAAATTGGTTTTGTTTTTATTATTATAATTATTTGTTTAGTTAATTTTTAAAAAAATTTTTTTTTTGATTCAAACTTTTCAAATTTTTAAAAAATCATTAAAAAATCAAAAAAGAAATCCATATTTATATAGTTTTTTTTTAAAAAAATTATTATCATTAGTTTTTTTTTTAAAAAAATTATTATCATTATAGTTTTTTTTTTAAAAAAATTATTATCATTATAATTTTTTTAAAAAAAATTTTTTTTTTATATAAACATATAAAACTGTTTAAAAAAAATATTCCGTACACAACCGTACAACAAATAATATGAAATACATTTGAAACTTTAAAAACAAAAAAAGTAATTTGATGGACTTTTAAAAAAAATATCATTCCAGATTATTTTTGACCGTTTTGTACAACCAAATAATATACTTTTCCTTATGGTTAAAATTCTGATGGTTTTAGGCAAATCAAAAAATATTACAACTTATGGAAAAACGGTGAGACAAAAATAAAGAACTTTCCACGTCACACCTATTAAAAAGATAGTGAGAAAAAGCGTTTTCCATATCAAAAAAAAAAACTGGACTTTAAAAGATTAAAATGGAAATTTCATTTGATTGTTTGACAGCAAGCCCATCATCACACGCTTTATCTTGAATTACACCCACTTTTTAATTTCAATCAATTGATTGTGCAAAAAACAATTATTCTGTTATCTTCTCATTCCTTTATCTTGCCGATTCCACCATACTCCAATTTCATATTTTATACAATTAATAATGATAATGATAATGTGTGTTAACAGATATAAACTCAAACTAAATAATTATTTTATATGACTTCCTTTTTGTTTTTATTGGACAAAAATTATGTTGATACTTTTCCCGATATCTCCTGATATAAAATTCTATGTACTTTTTGTTGTGTCCATCAATTCCATGTGCATGCTCTCGCAATACGAGTAGTAACTGAATTTATTTAAAAAATCAATCAAATATTAATATTACATACAATACAATTTAGTAAATTTAAATCCGTCACATTTAGTCAGACATGTTTGTTGATCTTGCTTGAGGTTCTTCATATATATATATATATATATACCTTATTATAAAAAATACAACCTCTAAAGTTCAATATAAAAAAAAACTTTTTTTAATAAGATTAATTACTATCATCAAGCAAGGTACAATGTTGATTCAGTTACTACAATCTAAAAGTTTCACCGCATATACACTCCCTGGACAAAAGTTTCGGTCACTACAAAACAAATGATTACGCAAAAACGTACATAATAAAACACAAATAAATTTCATCGAATTGTGACCAAAGTTCTCAAGAATATGTGTGTAAAATTTCAAATTTTTGTAATGTTTGGGAGAATAACAGTTAAAAAAATAAAAAGTTTGACCAAAAATAATTTTTGGAAATGATCTCTAAAATTTTGATTTTATTTGCAAATATTTATACCACTTCTCAAAAAAAAAAAAATGCACATAATAACCACACCCGAAATTTTACTTATTTGTATGCAAGTCAACACTTTGTTGGCCGCCATTATTGGATATAACAATGTTGATTCAGTTACTACAATCTAAAAGTTTCACCGCATATACACTCCCTGGACAAAAGTTTCGGTCACTACAAAACAAATGATTACGCAAAAACGTACATAATAAAACACAAATAAATTTCATCGAATTGTGACCAAAGTTCTCAAGAATATGTGTGTAAAATTTCAAATTTTTGTAATGTTTGGGAGAATAACAGTTAAAAAAATAAAAAGTTTGACCAAAAATAATTTTTGGAAATGATCTCTAAAATTTTGATTTTATTTGCAAATATTTATACCACTTCTCAAAAAAAAAAAAATGCACATAATAACCACACCCGAAATTTTACTTATTTGTATGCAAGTCAACACTTTGTTGGCCGCCATTATTGGATATAACAGCTTCTATTCTTCTTGGCATACTTTCTATCAAATTCATATAAATATTTCTAGGAATTTGATTCCATTCTTCATGTAAAGCGGTCTCAAGTTCAACATTATTTTTAAATTTATTTGGATATTCCCGAATACGAATTTCTAACTGATTCCACAGATGCCAAATTAGGAGATTGACTTGGTCAATTTTTTTACTTTATTCATTTCAATCCAATTTTTGACGATTTTTGCTTTGACATTTTTTAATTTTAGCAAAATTTCAAAAATTTCAAAACAATTTTTTAAAATAGCAAACAAAAAAAATCATATGACCTAATTTTTCAGAATCTAATTTTACATAAATCGCGATTTTAGGTGTGGTTATTATGTAAGTTTCTGAGAAACTGTTTTCTTTTTTTGGCAAACTACGATTTTTCAGAAGATTATCGGTCGAACTTTTTATTTTTTAAACTGTTATTCTCCCAAACATTACAAAAATTTGAAATTTTGCATACATGTTCTTGAAAACTTTAGTCACAATTTGATGAAATTTATTTGTGTTTTATTATGTACGTTTTTGCGTAATTAATTGTTTTGTGGTGACCGAAACTTTTGTCCAGGGAGTGTATTATATACAATAAATAAGTGTATACCTTTTCCTACTACTTCTCTATCTTAGTTGTTTTGGCGAATATGCTTTTTCTAAATAAAGATGAACGAAAACTCGTAAATAAAGTCAATTAAATAATACATAATATGCAAAAGTTGTAATTTTTCTCTTCTCATCTGATTCATGACCTAATTGATCCAAATTAATCCGGAAGTTGAAATATAAAAAAGCCACATATTAATATATATATATATTAATATAAAGGTTCTGTCGTATGCATAATTAATTAAAATTTATGTCATATATACAACATAAATTAAAAATTGATATAAAACGAATTTCAAATTTTCCTCGTTTTGAATCGAGTTTTTTTAATTCTTTTAATTAAGAGATTCTAAAAAGTAACCATTTATTATTTTTTCGGACGTGTAAACAAAAATGATTTCATCGTCAAAAGAGAAGGGAGAAGATTACTGTCAAGTTAGTCATATAAATTTGTTTGTTGCCTCTTTTTAATAATAATAAAATTCTAAATTATATTGATATTTTTTCTTCCAGATAATGGAAAATAAAAAATGTATTCTGGCTATTGGGAGGACAGGGAACGGGAAAAGTTTTACAGCAAAAATTTTTGGGGCGAATGATGCGATAGTATCTGATGGCGCAGATTCGTGTACCAAAGGAACCATGTTATATACTTGTGGAGATAATGGTTTCCTATACATTGATACGCAAGGTTTTGATGACTCCGAAGGAGTGAAGGGTGGTGATGCTCAAACGGCTTTATCGATTCTCAAAACTATGAATGAAAATGGTATCACTAAACTACACACAATTCTTTGGTTTGTTGTTCCTGAAACTCGTAAACTTGGATCTTTAACTCGTCAAGCAAAATTTATTCAATCACTTGCTCAATATTATGATGGCAATGTTTGGGATAATGTGATTATTGTTATGAAAGGTGACACATTATCCGAAAGCCCAATTAAAGCAGCAGAAGAAGCATCAAAAACTTTTGATAAATACAAGGATTTTCAAAAAAATATTAAGGTTTTTCATATTTTTTTGTATGAATATCTTAATCCAAATACACGTAAAATATATGAAAATTGTTTAAATGATGATATGCTTAATGAAATGGGGTAAATAATAATTTTTATGTTAATTGTTTAAAATTATTTTACAACAATCAAAAAACCTTTTTTTTTATTTTGAAATTAGAATTTTCAAACAAGCAGAACCAAAAAAAATCTTAAATCGGTATATTGAATTAATGAAAGGTCATGATCAACATCTTGTTACAATTCTATTTAAAGAAGCAAAATGCCTAAAATGTCCAGAAAAGAATGATCCAAGGTTAACAATTTCCAATTGTCATGGTGAAACGGAAAGAAAACATGAACATCATAAACAAGTTCATCCTGGAGAAATTTATAAAAAACATCCATCTGGTCTTTCTGGTTACCATCTAGGAAATTTAGAAAAACATCATCCTGATCGGAGAATTAAAATACATAAATTTAGTTATGTTACACCATTCCATACTGGCCAAAAAATTGAATACCATCCTAACGAAAATTCAGTGCATCCATTAACAGCAGTAGGGTACCAATATGAAGCTCCTGATTATGACTTTTGGCCATCAGTTACAAGAGTTGTTACATTTACAATTGTTAATCCACATAGAACTGTTCATACTCCAAAAATTCATGGATGTTGTGGTTGGGGAGAAGGTTCAGATGGCTGTTCTTATGCTTGTTGTAAACAATCAAAGGGCAGTATTGGATGTAAAGAAAAATATAATTGTTGCAATAATTTCGAACCTTGCAGAAAAAAACATGATTGTTGTAATCAGATAGTAGGAGCAGATGATAATGGATGTGAAACAGTTTATAATTGTTGTCAGGGAGAAGTTAATAGTGAAGGCTGCAGAGATCGTTATGAGCTTGGGTATTTTGTAAGCTATTTGTTAATACAAATAAAGAATAAATTAATTAAGAAAATAAAGATATTTATTACTAATAAAAAGAATTATTAATTTTTTTTTAACTAATAAAAAATTTATTAAATTTCCCACTTGCGTAACGAAAAAAAATTTTTTTGCCTAGAGGTTGGAATCGTCCAAAAAATCCTTAGTCGACTACTAGTTGGTCAAAATTTCTTTTAGTCGATTATTTTTAGTCGACTATTTACTCGACTAAATTTTTTTAACACTAGCGTATAACCATTTGCTTCGCAAAATGGTCACAGACAATAATAATAATTAGTATTAGTCGACTAAATAAACAACTAGTCGACTATTAGTTGTTTAAAAAAAAAGTTAGTTGACTAAATTAGTCGACTATTTTAGTCGATTCCAACCTCTAGTCCAGGGAGTGTATTCCATACAAAAAATCTACGAAAAATGTATAGAAAAACCATACTAGTACTAGTATGAAATCTCATATACGGGTAAAGCTTGATTAATGGTTTGGGCACAGTAATCAGACCTCTCAAACATCAAAACACGTGATTTTACAAAAATAAAAGAATTATAAACTCAATAAGTTGGTCTGCTCAATCGTTTAAATACTTGATAATATAAATAAATGGCCCACTTATCCAAAAAATTATCTTTATTATTACAAGTGTTCAAATCGTAAACTTTTTCTAAATCTTCAAATTTATAAATAACTTTTGATCCACATGATGGTTCTTTTTTGCAATGGATCTTTTATTAATTTTATAATTTCTTTTTATATATATTTTTTTTTAAATAAAATAAATAAATAAATTTTTGCTCGACGCAACGAATAAAAATTATACTAGAAATTGTTTTAGTTTTAAGTTTATATATCTTATATATACTATAGAATGTGATGATTCCTACAGTTATGAAAATACTTACTCTTTTCACTTAACATCTTTATATTTTTTGATTCTTGTTTAAAGTTTATTTTGAATATCTAATAAAACAAAAAAAAATATAAGGAATTAACAACATTGTTTGGAGGAGATAGAGTTTGTATTTTTATATTACATATATTGATCAGTGAAAAATCCGCATGTGTATGCTCAACTGCATAAATTTCATTTTTCACACACAACATAGATTTGTTGAGGTGAATTAGTATATAATATTATTAGTAATTTCGTTACAACAAATTTTAAATGAAATTTTCTTACGTGTCCAGCCATGAGGATTATACTGTCTGTTCTAATTTCCAGTTAAAGGAATATTGTCATCATCTTTCTCTTCTATCAATGAATTTCTTACCAAGTATTCAAAAGGTTTGTAACATACAGATTATATAATAATGAGTTAATGCTCAATCAAGTGATTGATAAATAGTAAAATAAATAAAAATTAACACTTCCATTTCACATTACAATGCAGGTATCAGTTGTTTTTCTTTTTTCATGTTAATGTCCATCTGAATACTTCCCTTCTCATTAGCATCATCAGGATCGGGTGTAATAATATTCATCATTTAGTATTTACAGTGTGTTAAGAAAAAAACTGCAGTGACAAAAAATTGCATATCTCAATAATTACATAATTAAATAAATTTTGATTCATTTGAAAGTTTATCAAATTGCCTTGTTAAATAAAAAAAATAGACATGATATGCTATTGCCAATTTTCTGTAAAGCTAAATCATATCTTTTTTTGTCTCTGAAATTTTAAAATGGAATTTTTTAATAATAATCCTGATGCAAAAATATACATAATAAACATACAAAAAATCATACCAATTTGTAATGAAAGTTCCAGAGATTATATATAAACCTTCATACTTCCAGATTTTCTAGAATTTTGTCAATTGGAAATAAAAGGAATTTGATTATTTGAAAAAACAATTCAACGCATAAATTTCTTTTAAAGCTTACATAATAATATGCTTCAAAAATTTCATATGTCATAATCTATGATCCTCCAATTCTCTGATATATAATTTGGCTACTTTTTCATTAAAAACAATATCTTTACAAACTGCTGTTTTTTTCTTAACACCCTGTATATATGAATTCTATAGAGTAAGGTTAATAACAAAATTATCCCAATCTTTTAAAATAGTTTCGAATGGAGATATTCTCTTTCCCCGCCTGCCAAAAAGAGAAATGGCTTAGTTGGCTACAAGTAAACACTTGACCCAATCACAGAATAATTTTAGTTTTACCTTTCTTTTGCATTTCTCCTTAATGGGACAGCAAAGATAATTGATATTATCATTACAAATAAATAGAGAAAATATTGCATCACCAAAGTAATAATAATACTATGACCAGTGTTGTCAGCGGACGCGGACATGGACACGGACTGTCCGGTCCGGGACTGCGTCTTTCACTTTAAATGTCCTGGACCATTCTTGGACAAAATATAAATTTTTGCCTATTACCTCCTTCTTAAAGCTTTGGTGAATCTGTAAACACTTTATGGTACAATTAACAAAGCAATAGAGCTCCTTTATCGCCATTAATTCCTTCTAAATAAATAATACGAAAATATCAAAATAATTAATAAATATACGGAATACAGATATAATAATAAAAATAAAAAAAAGATTACTTCGGGATTATAGTGTTTTCAATTAGCGAGTTAACGTCAAATTCAAATCCCGTTAACACACATAATAAATGGATCACAGCATGTATGTGCATATTAACATTAATATTATTCACGATATTTTTCCCTTTTTAATACTTGCCAATCATAATCGCTCTAAATTCCACCCCAATTAAATTCATTCAAAAATGAAAATGATATATTTGTAAAACTAAAGCTAATATACATATATATAAGAAAGGTTTGTAGCATTTTGTAATAAGCTAAACACAGACATGACTTTTCATTATAAAAACTGAACACATAATTTTCATCTATTCTTAATTTAACGTTAATAATAATATTTCGTTTTTTTTTTTTTTGATTTGCAAATTTCAAATTCATTTCCATTATAATCTTTCACTTTTTCAAAATACTTCCATGTGTTACGATTCGTTTTTATAAACCGCTTAAATCATTGGAACTTGAAACCAATGAACTATTAGACCTTGTATTGGTGATGTTTATTCATTCACATGTAAAATTATCATCAACAACACACTACTATTGTCGTCATCATCGTATTGGTGGTATTGATAATCTTCCGCATCGAAATTTTCCATTTTGAATGATAAAACACAAAAATTGTAGCTGGTCAGACAATAATAATATTAGCATAGTATTAGTATTAGTATTAGTAGTATTGGTATTAGTAGTCAATGACTATTAGTTGTTTAAAAAAAAGTTTAGTCGACTATTTTAGTCGATTCCAAGCCTCTACTATTGCTTTCTTTATTGTTATTTTCTTTTGTCATTCTAAGTAGTGCATATGGACCCATCTCGACCAAATGTCTATGTCGCTAAATTCTCCACTAATAATACGCATTTTACTGATAGTTTTTCAATTCGTTCGTCTATTTTTTTTTTTTAACAGGTTGTTTATTCACGGAGGTTTAAAAATATTAATGTATATATTAGTATTTTAATATTAAATAGAAACCTATTTTTGATAATAATAATAAAATTATGAATTCATTTCCGATGTAATTTTCAGAAAATTTCCAATTTTCTTGTTCACTAGTTTCTTTTCTAATAATTTCCACAATCAATCTGTCAAGTTACTGGTTCTTTTGGCATTTTTAGAGGATATTTCAAAGCAAGTATCGGGTTGGAAAAGTTTACGTGTCCCAGTTAAATCAACCATTCGTCAAGATACTGTTTCTGTTGTGCTAAAAACAATAATAAACTCAATTTTCTCAAAACATAATTTTCACGTTATGGTCTTTTTTATCGTTCAGACCAAAAATATTCTGCATCGATTCCAGATTATTAGATATGAGAGTACATATTTCATATCTACTGCATTTCATATTGAAAGTGCGTTTTTTTTTCATTCTGCATTCTACTCAACAATTTTTAACGGGGCGGGACAGATTTGTTGAAATGTGTGTCAATTAGTGTTGGTTTCCAAAATTAGAGAGTTTCGCAACCGTGCGAAAGTCAAAAGGTTTCGCCATAAGTCGAAACTAGTT